AAGTATCTTTCTGCACACATAAAAACTGATGTCAAGTGCACACGCTACATGCTCGATCTCAGACAAATCAGAGCCAGGTGTGTCCGGATGACAGAGTTCATATTAGAGAGATATTGCAAACATCTGTGTGTTCTGCGTGTCCTCATCATTTAGATCCCTGCATGACAGTAAAAGGCTGTGGAGAGGAGGAGAGGGGAACACCCGCTCGAAAGTAACTCTGCCGGTTTGTTCTGCTGCCAAAGGGCCTGACAGATGGGGCACTGCCGCAGGAGCCGACACGCAGACATGTGTTCCTACCATAGACTGTGGTTCCTACCCACCCAGCAGAGGACCGTCACACCACGACACCACGAGAGGACCAGTGAACGTTCAACTAAAACACACTTCTTCACAAATAACACGAGAGCAAAACACAAAACTACTACTACTTTTTAAAAATGGTCAAGTGGGGACTTGTAACCCTGGCTGATGTTCAAAGAGGGGACCTCCACTGTCTCTAACGAACAAACTGGGACATGAACACATTGACTTATTTCAAAAATAAGGTTAACGAGACTAATATTGTAAATTGAATGTTGCAATCTTTCAGAGAAGCATTAACACCTGTAACTCAGAGCAGTATAGGAACAGGACACGCTGTCCCACTGCCAAAGGCTCCTTCTCTTCCCAAGCAATCTAACATGCAGAGGTTAATTAGCTGTGCAGGTGGTTGAGCTGGAGACGGTGCAGTCTCCGTCCAGCTGGTGTTTCTGTCCCTGAACCTGTCCCCATCCTGAATAAAGATTCTTAAAACTGTGTGTGTGGATATTTGCAGCTCTTGGTCTGTATCTGCAGGATCTAAAAGCTGCACGGCTGCTCTCACATCGGCTGATTGAGCAGGTGCACAGGTGTTCCTCGTAAAGTGAGCGTCTCTTGATTACTCAACATGTCTCAGATACCAGGACACAAACATGGAGCCCCCCCACCTCAGTGATGTTTGTTTGTCTTGACCATGAGCAGAGCTCCTCAGAAACAAACAAAAGCGGTGAATATAAATACTGTAAATAAAACCCGGGCTCGTTACACGTAACAATCTGGAATAACTCACTGAGGGCACAGCCGTCAGTCAGAGGGAGAGCTGGGACTTCTCACTGAGTGATGCAGATAAAAGCCTGAGGTCCGTCAACAGCACTCAAACTGTAAACGATGAATAAACTGTAAACGATCACTCGCACACACATCCAGTGGAACCACTGGATTACTAACGAGGTGTTGATGGACTCGTGTGAGACATAGAACAACACAGAAACTGCTCTCAGCTGATCCAGGTTACAGCAAACAGCTGCGGGAAGTTTTACTGAAAAACATTTTCACTTGTTTGTCAAGTTCTAACATCTGAAACAGGGATTTTCCACCATCGCACTTTCACTGAGGTCCAGTTGCACAACACATGTTCGGTTTCCTGCCAGAGCAAAACTGAACACAACAGCCGAGACAAGAGTGTCTCTGTCAGCGCAACGGGGAAACTCAGGACGTGTCAGTTACCTGTGACAATTCTGATCACCGCAACACAACAACACGAGTCTGAAGATATTTTATCAATTAATTCAGTGAAGAAAGATTTTTAGTATTTGGTTTTCTCCTCTTGCAAATCTCAGGTTCCTTCTTTATTTAAACCAGCTGTTTTTTTTTTCAATTGTTTTGTCCACTCAATTTATATTTGCTCTGTAAACTATAATATATTTGAATATAACACAAACTACAGCCTCCAAAATTACCATTGAGATGTATCAACTGCTCCAAGAACAGTTTCAATTAAAACTGAACATTAAAACCTTCATTCAGGAGGATTTACTGCAGAACTCTATCATCAGGCTGCATCGGATTTAACTGGATGTACCTAATAAACTGACACCCGAGAGTATGATTTGTTTTTTATTGATGGTAAAGTAATGAATGAGTTCCACCTGAGTCAGACACAACATAAATCTGTGAGTACATTTTATTAAAAAGTCAAAAGCGACATATTTATTGTTTTGATAGCATTTAATTGAAATGACATCACATACTAATAATTCCTAAATTGTTATTCCATAATAGCTTCATAGAAAATTTTACTTTTTATTCTTTGTTCATCCTGCAAATTAAATTGAATGGAAAAAAACCCAAAGGCTTTTTCATTTCATTTTGATTCAGTGTGACGGAGACTATTGGGGGTTTAAATGCTGGTGAAATCATAATTATATATTTTTAATGGTAATCAGGCTTTTAAAACTAAAACATTTGGAACTATTTTGACATGACCTTAAAAATAAAATTCAGTTAAACAGAGAAGATTCAGGGAAACTCAAAAAAAGGAGAAAAAGTAGCATCAGATCAGTAGCAAACAAACTTAAAGAAAACTCTCTGTAAAGTTTACGTAACTAATCTGAGGAGTAACTTTCCTCGTGTCTGAGTCTCTGCGGAGTCACGGAGAGGATTTCCACTCTAAAGCCTCTCAGCTCGTGTTCACCAGAGCAAACACAGGGGTCGAGATGTCACGACGTCGCTTTTCCCTGCGACTACGAGCAAACAAGGGAGACACGCGTTAGAATTATATCGTGTAAATACTGAGATTTCTTGGACACATACTCGTGCAAATGTTTCTGTGCTAATAAAAATCTAAATCTCGATCTCTGTCCCCGTATCCGATCCCTTCTTAGCCTTCCTCTCCTCCCGCCCGGACTCTGGACATGTGTGAAACATTTACAATCGCAGAAACACAAACAGAAAACCCAGAGCTCCCAGTTACCCCCCCTCCGCCGCCGCCCAAATCTAATAACCACGGCTGAATCCTGATCTCGATTTACACCCGTCTTTGTTTCCCCGGCAAATATTTTATCTCCATCTCGCAGCAAATCTGCCACAGAGGGACACAGCACAGAAACGCCTCCGAACGCCGCTATAGAGACGTCGCATTCCGGCCTTTTGTCCTCAGCTGGCTGCTCCGAGCAGCTGCTTCAAACCCGCCGCCCCTTTTTTATATCTCACCTTGTTGTTTGGGGAGCGACAGCGAGGCCCTCCGAGAGCATCGCACACATTCCTTCCCCTCCACCCTCCTCCTCCTCCTCCGCTGCCCTCCCCTTGATTGCGGCCCTTCTCTAAAAGGACGTGCACGTTGTTTAATGTCCACAGCCCCCGGAGACAATGGGCCACTTGACCTTTGACCCCGGTGAGGAAAGGACAGGTTTAATCTGATGTTGAGATCCTCGGATGCCATTGTCTGAGGGACAGGGGACCCAATGTGGCTCTCGACCAAAGGGGGGGGGGGTCACTACATCTGCCCACCAATTTGGTTGTCACATGGGGCACAAACCCCCCCCCGGCCCTCTCCGACCTCGGCCCACCCAGGGAAGATGGCGCGCTCTCTCTCCACTTGTCTGCTGACCCTGTGTTCACCCCGTCCCTCACCAGCGATGGAAACTATAACGTCCTGACCACGTGTTGATATTGATTAAACTTCATTTCTTTACTCAGAGTCTCAGAGTTTTACTTTCTCACTAATGTTTGCTCTTGTTTCTAAAACTTCCTCTCTACGCCGACGAATGTTGTTTCTCTCTCTCTCTCTCTCTCTCTCTCTCTGCGCAGAGCCGCCTCTTAATCGACGAGCTCGTTCTTCGCATGCTAACCTCAGCTAGCATCAGCGTAGCCAGATGGGGAAATGTTGAAGTGTCGCACCAAGGAGCAGGATCGATAAAATTTGAGACTGCAACAAGAAAATAAGGCTCAAAACATTTTTAATTTTTCCATTATTCTATTTTTTTTTTTACAGTTTATAAGAATAGATTATTTTGGTTAAACAATTAAAAAAGGTGATTTTTACTCTGAAAAAAAGTTACTAATTTACTTTTCTGCTGTAATAACGTGTCACGTTGTTTGACACTGGATAGCACAGAGACGATCACATCAAATCTAAACATGACACATAATCATTCATCCATCTTTCTGCATCAATCAGTATAATATATTATTTTCAGATTCCAGACCATAAAACAAAACAAAAAATGAAAAGGGTTAAAATGTGCTTCTAATGTTTAAAACAACAGCACAGCCTAGAAACGTGTTCGCCAAACACAAGCAACGTTATTTTTCCTTTGGCGATGAATAACTTCCTGTTTATAAGAACATGGACAACACTGATAAGACTCTAATATTTCACAGTCTGTGAGCAGAACATAGCTGTCACGTTTGGTTACAAAAACATTACCCACATGTGTTTATTTGAACCTGAACATCCAGATGTGTGACTCATGCCATCTGGAAGTTGTAACGGAACAAAGCGGACAATAAAAAAGCAATAACTTATTCATAGAACATAAATTATTTTCTTCCATATCAAATATTTACACATGGTACCTTTTTGAACATCAGTGCATTACAGACAAAATTATGTATCTCCTTCACAAAAAGAGGAAAAAAAAAATAAAAAGATGATAAGTAACCTGGTGAGAAACCCTGCGGTGGAAATGTTCTGACGGAGGTTTTATCCAGGACGTTCCCTGAGTCAGAGGCCGCGTCAGGTGCGTGAAATCGGCTTTTAAATCTCGGCGGAGACGTCACTCAATGACGTCCGTTATGGGAGAAAAGCTGTTGATCTGAAGTTTATTTTAAAACGTTGGCTGCAAAAGTCTCATCAGTCAATTTATCTCGGTCCTAAATGTTGTAAATCTGTTTGAACGTAATGTGTAAAAGGATTTTTCACCATATTTATGAGGTTTTAGTTGTATTTACTTCATATATTCTGACACATATTGTGTGAATTATAATTACGATGGTTCTAATTCATAAATCCATGTATTGCATACCCATATTAGTGATTTTTTTTTACATAGTACTAGCAATTTAAGGGTAGTGCTAATGTCCTATGGGCAGAAAAGTAAAAATTCCTTGCATAGTTTTGTAAGAGCAGATTCCTTTGTTTCAGCTAATGTGACTTATTTAAAGAAATCTAAGCATTTTGGGAAATTATTCTCGTCTTGAGATTTAAATCTGGACAGTAAATATTTGAGACTTTTCTCCTTGAAAAGTCGACTTTGTGTTTCCTAAGACAGGAACATAAAGAAAAACCAAAATGTTTGAGGTATTAAGCACGACTGGTTTTTAAAAGATGCATCACGAGTTTTTCTTTGAGTCTCCACGTTGTTAAGTTCTGCTTCTTTCAGGTGCGGCCTGGCCACCGCACAGACTGTGATGCCGTTCGATTCCCACCAACCGGAGACGAACAGGAGACCGGTCAAGGTGAATCGCCCGTCGGCTCCACTACCTGCAGCCACAAGACTCCACCACCATGTCCTCGTACTGCTTGTAGACCACGTTGTTACCTGAGTCGATGTAAAGGATGCTGATGGGGCTGAGTTTGGAGGGGGCGCAGCAGCTGGGCGGCATGTTGCTGGGGTTCATTGAATTCATCAGAGTCTGGATGATGGCGTGGTTGGTGGGCTCCAGGTGGGAGCGCAGGGGGAAGTCACAAACTCCCTCGCAGTGATACGCCTCGTAATCCAGCGGGGCGATGATCCAGTCGTCCCAGCCCAGATCTCTGAAGTTGACGTGCAGCGGCTTCTTGCTGCACCTGGATTTTGACTTTTTTCCGTGTCTTTTCCCGTGGCGGGTTTTGGACGCAGCCGTCCTCCTCCTCCTGCTGGCCTTGATGCCGGAGCCCCTCTCTTTGGCCTTCCTCTCCAGGCCCAGCAGCGCCCTCCCTTCCCTCCTCTCACTGAAGAGCGTCTGCCTCTTCTTCGACCGGGTGAACACCACCAGGATGGCCTTCTTCTGCTGCGGCCGGCTGTGCCTGTGCAAACCCAGAAGGTGCAGGTCCAGCTCCCTCTCGGGGTTGTCCAGCATGGCCCTGAGCTCCAGACAGAAGGGCTTCCCTGGGCTCAGGTGCTGGCGCTCTTTGAAAATTTCCCACACGTCCAACACCTCCCATTTCGGCCTGTGGGAATCCTGCAGGTCCAGCGTTCTGGAGTCGAGCAGCTGCTGGTCGTGGCAGGAGAGGAGCTGGATGTCGACAGGGTCTGTCTCGGATATCCTGAAATTCCCAGACACTTTGGTGTATATCCTGAGCTCGGCTCCCAGCACCTCTGCTTTTTCGGAGAGGGTTGAGACATCGAACAGATACTGCTGTCTCCTCAGAGGGGAGAGTGGGAGGTCATCTGTGGAAAGCATTAAAAAACGGCAGGGTCAGACGCATTCTCACGGAGATGATGTGCATACCACAGAATCTGACAGGAAAAAATCCCACTATTGTCTGCACTGAATTAATCTGGGAGAAACACTGAGTCATGGGTGTTAGGACGGCACTGCCAGCAAACACACACACACACACACACACACACACACACACACACACACACTGAGAGCTGAGAGAGTGTCCATCATTTCTGGACACGTCCAAAACTTCATAACTTTCCAGTGGTGCTCCACTGTCTGTCTTTAGAGGCAATTTAGCATCTGATCCTGGAACTGCTTCACCTGGGTTTTCCACAGTTTAGATCCCATCGCCTGCTTGTTGGTACAAAGATGTCTTTTTTGAAACCATGGAAATCTGACTTTGACATCTGAGACGTGCTTGAAGGAGCTGATGGACATTTTGCACTTTGAAAGCCTGAGTTTCTCAAAATATGGAACCATGTGTCACACCAGGGGAACTTGTTTTTCTTCCAACTCGGAATGTTTAAGACTAATTATTCAATCATTTTTAGTTTCCTGGCTCATAAGCGTTCTTAATTTTCACGTCTTTTTATTTAACCATTCACCAGCTCTGTCACTCACTGGCTGAATTGTCCCTTTTCATTTACTCCTGCGTAGTCAAATAGTTTGGCCCAGACTTGGCCCGCACCTCCAGTCCACAAACCCCGGTTTGCCAGATCTGGACCACAAGTGAACCAGAGCAACACCTCATGTCACCCAAAGGTGGCCAGCCTATTTCAGCCATATTCACTATTTACCACATTTAGCTTCCCATCCAGATTTCTCTTTGCCTGGAGCTCAGCTTGTTTGCCCCAAGAAAGGCCCAAGTTTGTTTTATGCTATTTGGGCCGGAAGAAAGAGGCCAGATAATCCGGATCAAGTGGCCCACATCTGTCTGCTAACCTGATTCAGACCGTTTTGTTTTCTCCTGCATGTAAAAGCACTAGAAATAAACATCTACACACACACGTGTACAGTAGAGCTCCACGTACCTTGTCCACTGTCCACAAAACTTGCAATGGTGTTTGCGGCTTTTGAGGATCGAAAGAAACTCGCGTTCAGCCCCAGTTTCTCCGCCGTGGAGAAAGTTTTGTAAATAGACAACATGTAGTCGTGAGGCTCGATCAAATCTTTGTTCGTCGCTTTGTTGTGTCTGTCGATGGACGGCGGCGGCGGCGGCGGCGCGTAAAACTCCTTGAAATACTTGGACGCCTCTTGTCCGTCAAAGATCTTCGTGACTTTGCTGCTCTTCTGCGCAGCGGGGGGGAAGATAGCCAGGGGCTGAACGCGGGGGGTCTCCCACACGAGCAGCAGAGCCCCGCAGAGACACGACCAGTGGAGGAGATCCATGCTCCCGCTCTGTGCGCTGGATCCGAGCCGGAGCCTGAGCTGTGGCCTGCGGGGGACCGACTCATCCACTCTGCATGCGCACAGTGCGCACAGCTCCGGGGGCGCAGGCGGTGCGAAAGTTTTAAAAGAAAAGGGGCCGAGAACACGCCCACATTGTGCTGTTATCGTTCGGGCTAAATGGAGGACGCAAATTAAGGCTGTAAAACTAATTGTTCCTCTGTCACCTCCTCCCTCCTCCTCCTCAGCTGGAGGAGGCAGATGTGCTGCTCAAAAGACGCGCATCATGGTGCAGCTGCGGACTCTTTATGTTTCTGCAAGAAAAGCAGCTTCTGCAAAAAAAACTAGGAATCACGTCGATCCCTCGGTGATTGTTGTTGTTGTTGTGACTGTTCTGCAGAAGTTTGAAGCCTCTGAACAGAGACGGTGGATTTCCTGCGGTGTCTCGCGTCCTCTAGTGGAGGACAGAGCAACGAGAGGACACGACGAGCAGCCAATCGGCGTCCTTCAGCACCATGGACAGAGTCTGCATTAAAAAAATAATTAATCAACAAACACGGAAGTTACGTCACAACTAGTGACGAAACGAATCCTGATGGATTACGTCATGCTGTCAAGAAATCAATGAGCAATTAAATTCATAATTAAATCAACGATTCAATAAATAAATGATTTGTTTGAATGTCATATTTCTGACAAAGCAGAGAAGAGCCGAGCTGCATCTGTGTTGATGTGAGCAGAGCAACAAAGACACTGAGGTATCACACACACACACACACACACGTTTAACGAGGAAAATGTGATTTTATTGAAAAGAAAATAGTTTTTAAAAAATCGTAAACAAAATGCAGACTTCACGTCTTCCTTCAGCTTGTTTGTGACTCAGGTCAGAACTATTGCACTTGTTTTAAAAGAGAAACGTTATATGGATCTTACACCTTTTTTTTTTTTTGTCACATAAAACACACACTCATATATACTGAAGAGAAATCACCCCCCCTTAAAAAAACAGGTAACAAAATAAGGATTGTCAGGTACAGATAAAAAATAAAGATGCCTTCATATTTGCTTGTTTACCCCTAAATTTTAGATTTTACCTCACGTCAACCAATCATGTGATCATTCTGTTTAAATCTCATTATAAAAAAAGAAAACATCTTCATGTTAAAGTGAGTTTCCCTTCATCAAACCCTGTTAGCTGAGCAGCCCTCTCTCTCTCTCTCTCTCTAACATATGGGCGTCCCCTCGGAGCAGCACGCCACGGCGTAGATGACGCTGACCAGGCACAGGCTGCCGGCAGACACGGTGGGGCTGGAGCTGAAGATGCTGCCGTCTGTGGTGGTCTGTTCGGTTGTTGTGCTGCCGGTTGTTGTGGTGCCGGTTGTTGGCGTGGTGGCGTTGTTGCTGACTGTCGGGGTCTGAGTGGTCGGAGTTTCCTTGACAGAGAAGGCACGTGACTGAGCGCCCCACTCCTTCAGGGTGAAGACCATCGTCAGGTTCTCGCCTGCAGGAGGAATTAAAGAGGAGGCGTTTTCTTTAAAACAACCAAAACAAACAAAAAAAAAACAGTCAAGGACAGTTTTTAAAATTCCGGAAGTAAACGCACCGCTGTTGACGATGGACAGGTCGGTGAAGTTGGCCCAGCAGGAGCTGAACAGGATTGTGGTGTTGCCTTCAAGTCCGTCCACCCTGTTTCCACTTGCGTTCTTCAGACTGGCTGTAACGCTGAGAGTCGTCACTCCCACAGAGATACAGTTTCCCTGCAGACGACAACACACGTCAGCACTTACAAGATTTATAATATCTGTGTTTAAGTCACAGCATCAGATTTAACAGCAGCTGCTCAGTGAGATCGACGTCTCAGGTCCTCACCTCCTCGTCCACGGCCATCAGACTGGGCTGCTGGAGCAGACGACCCACGAACTGCCTGGCGATCGGGTCCATCATCAGGAGCAGGTCGTTGACGGTGGACACGTAACTCACCTCAGGCTCTTTCCTCGTCACTTCCTTTGTGGCCTCCTGAGATTTAAAGCAGAGACGGAGCAGTGAGAAGACGTTTATCCAAACAGAGATTTATTTCATTGTAGATTTGTTACTTGAGCTTCACCTTATTCCAGTCGGGGTCAGATGATGGAGGCGGAGGAGGGACGACGCCCACCGAGGAGACGTTAAAGCCGATGGACCCACTGAGGTTTCCGGAAACTGCAGCTTGGCCGATATCATCAGCGATGTTCTTCAGCAGCTTAAAGTCCTCCTCATCTGAGACCACACAGACGACAGCAGAGGACAGGAGCATGAGGAAGAACGTTCATGTCAGGTAAGTGCATCAAACTTTGAGACTTGAATTTTGAATCTTCAGTTGGGTTTGTGGAGGAATGTGGAAACTGTGGAAACTGTCTGGAAACGAACCATTGGTGCTGTTGGTGGTTTGTTGGACAGGAGGTTTCCTGATCTCCACCTCCACCTTCAGGCCAGTTGACCTCTTCCTGCGCCGGGAGCCCTCTCGGATGATGTTTGTGATCCGGATCATGTTTGGAGGAACTTTGAGGAAGGTGGCGAGGTTCTGGATCAGACTGTCTCCGAAGAACTCGTCATTAGTAATGGCGGGCAGCTCGAAGGAGAGGAAGAGAACCGGGGAAGTTCGGATCTCAGCCGGTTTGGAGCCTTTCAGTACGACCTTCAGCATCTTGTAATCTGCGTCAAAGTAGTTGGAGCCTTCGGTGGCGTTGAGCTGAGGGACGTATTGACCTGAAGAGATGAAAAGTAATTACACACAAATAAAAAAAACAATGAAAAGACACTGTTTGTCTTCACCGCCGGAAATGATTCAGTCACATTATCTGTGTGTGAACAGCTCGTACCTGCCGAGATGGGTTTCTTCAGGGTGTAGTCGGTGTTTTCAGCGTTCCACTTGGCGTTAGTTGGAGCCACGAGCTTGTTGTCGACGTACACATCCAAGCGCTGAGGTTTGGAGTAGAAGACTGACACCAGGACGCTCTGCACAGAGTGAAGAACAAAAAAACTTAGATCCTGATTTGAGATAAACTGACTGAAGGAGTTGTATTAATACACAAATGAAAAAAGAGTCTGACCGATTTTCTAAGTGTCAATAAAAAGAAAACACAAATACAAAGGAGAAAATGTTCGAGGTGCTGTGCTCTCTGACCTCGGTTGGATCTGCGTTGAGCAACATGAGGCGAAGCTTCTGGGGGCTGACGCTGGAGAAGAAGACGTCGAAGGAGTGACCAGTGGCCACGATGCTGTGGAAGAGCGACACTCTCTTCTGGCAGGTGTAGCCAGAACACCAGCCCTGATCCTGAGGGCCTGCAACACAGACGGACACACAACCGAACGTAAGACACTGTTTCTTTTTTTACTGATTTTAGAGAGATCACTGAGATTTTGCTCCGACCGTTGAGGAGATCCAGATATCCGCCTCCGAGCACGGCGACGGGGGACAGACGTCTGGTCTCTGTGTCGGCGTCAAGACTCTCAATCACCAGCATCTTGTAGTTCAGCCCTGAACACTTGTAGCTCTGCCAGGTGCTCATGTACTCACAGTCTTTCCTCATGACACCTGACGACAAATGAACTTTTCAAATTTTCTCAAACATTTTCTCTTCCCAGCTGACGTCTAGTCGAGGAGTTTAGATTTGGATTTGCATTTTCATTTTCCGTTACCTTTGTTGGGAGCGATCTGGTTCACAGGGATGCGGCTGCCGTTGAGGTACGTGAGCATGACCGTGGGGATGCGGTAGTCACCCAGTCCTCTTCGGGGATCCCCTCCCCACGCAAACTCAGAGTGAGGCACCACGGCTCCCACCTTCCCCAGGAACGAGCCGTCCAGGTCCTTCAGCAGGCTCTTCTTCTTGGCATCGCACTCCATGTCCACACAGTCCGAGGGGTTCACTTTACTGAGACACACACACACACACAGTGGTTATCTGATTGTCTGTAATACTTTGTTAAAACGGGTTCATCAGTTTAAAAGACATATTAATGTAACAGTGAACTTGATAAACCTATTTTAATGATAATTTAGCATTTACTGCTCGTTGCTAAGTGCAGCTAGCGTCAAAACACTTTTATGCTCAAATTAAAAACAGTTTTCCGTGATACTGATCATAAAACATTTTCTGTGTCTGTGTGTATAATTCCCTCACAGTGTTCTTGAGATATCATGTTCATGAGAGTGGGATGGACCCCCCTGAAAACATGCTGCATAAAATAATTCTCATTTACCCGAGATTTGCCCTGTGAATGAAAACCTTGGCGTTCTCTGTGCTGTCAATCATCTGAATCCCTGAAACCTGCACCGGGTGCTGCAGGTCCTCGTTGTTCGGGTTGGTCATGAACATGAAGTTCGTCTCACCGGAGCAGACGTTTCGGAAATTGACAAACATTGAGTCTGAAAGGAGAGAAAACAGACGAATGAAGCAGCACGTGATCACACACATAAATGATTTGAAAACGACTGCGAACCTTTGACCGTCATCAGCCCTTTGATGGCGTTGTAGTTGTTGTTGATGTCGTGCGGCTTCAGTGGAGCTTTGTTGTGTGAAGATCCAAACGTTGGCCAACAGACTCCAGATCTTCCACCTGCGCAGAGTCATGAAGGTAGAAGAAGATGATGATATACAAAGTTCATTCAAGACTTTTCAACGTCTGTAGAAACCTTTCGAACAGTTTGAACAGTTGTGTGTTTTGTCACACTGCACCTTTGAGAGGCCTGGGAGCTCGATGTGATTCACTGTTGGCGATGTTGTAGTCACTGATGGGCAAAGTGTCCGAGCAGTTGAAGTTCGGGCTGCTCCCGACAATCAAAGCATTCTGGGAAAAAGAGCAACATGCGCACTTGTCACAACAAATCTTTTAAATGATGCAGAGAAACAAATGCAAGAAAAACAAACTCTCACCTGGACTTGGGCCATTTTATCTGCGTACACGTGGGAGACGGAGGGAGGAGCAAAGATGAGCGGCATGATGCCCATCCCGTTGTCCACCAGGGTCACGTTGGAAATAACGACATTCATGATGGTCTGTGAGGAAGAGAGGGAGAAGAGGACGATGAGGAGGATCCACGCTTCAGAAGATTGTCTCTGGACGCATAAATCACACAGCGGACGTTCACTGTTCAAACCTGGAAGTAGATGGCGTAGTCATAGCTCCTCCAGATGAAGAAGCCCTGGATGAAGCTGCAGCCGGGCAGACCGTCTTTGTTCAGATAAACTCCGTACAAACCGCCGTGAGCCTCATTGTGAAGCCACTTCTCATTGTCATTCACGTTTCCTGCGCAGGCGGAAGAGAGTAAATCAGCTGGAATAAAAACTGACATGATGGTTTTTACTGATCGATGAGAAGCTGAATCCAGCACAGACACCGTGGTGTGAAACATCTGTGAGCTGTTACCTGGACACGGTTCCCCGTCGATGCGGTACGCCACCCTCTCGTAACCCGCCACGATGTTGTACTGCAGCACGACATTTGTCCCCTTGTTGACCTGCGAGAAAATAAAGACCAGGTCAAAAAAAACAGGAAAACACTTTAAAAAAAATGTTTTTTCTTATATTCTGAGAAGACGCACCTCGATGGCGGCGCTCCATTCGAAGTTGAAGGGCTCCTCTCGGTCCTGGTAGGATCCGGGCCACAGCGACATGGTCACCAGGTTCCTCCTCACTGTTATCTTATTCCCCCAGATTCTGATTGCTGCAAACGAAGACGTGTTAAAAAGCTCCTGGCGTCATGTTGAGTGTAAGTGCTATAAACTGTATTCGGTAACATATCATTCACCTTCTCCGACCGTGTGGTGGACGATGTTATCGTCAACGTTCAGCTCCTCTGTCTCAAAGACTCCGATGGCCGGAGAGAAGCCGTCGTGGAACGCACAACCCTGAATGTACGAGTCATTTCCTGTAACCTTTAAACACAGACAGAAACAACATTTGTTTTTCATATCAATCAATCAATCCAGTTTTATTTGTAAAGCCCATATTCACAAATAACAATTTGTCTCACAGGGCTTAACAAGGTGTAACATCCTGTGTGTGTGTGTGTGTGTGTGTGTGTGTGTGCGTGTGCGTGCTGCTCTACCTTCCCCAGGTTCAGGAAGGACACTGAGTAGCGAGGGTCGGTGGAGTCGGTCCATCCTTCCTGACCCGAGCGGAAGAACTCTACATTCCTGATCTGAGCTTTGCCTTCAGGAAGAA